GGGGGGTCGTCAAATTATTTATTTACTTTTCTTGATACCCCCAAATATAGCAGTTGCTTACAAAGTAAAAAATTATTTTTCCTCCGTAAGCTTTAACTTTAATTTTTCCATGTCGGGTTCCATTGCAGATCTTGTTTTTATTAGGTTTTCAGTAATTTAATTTCTTAAAGTTTTGTTCTTGTAGATTAAGTGAGTCCCGAATATCCCGGAGTACAAGTAGAACAAGTAGAACTAGTAGAACCAGTAGATCCAGTCAACCTCCTTCGGTTAACACCTCCACAGATGAACTAGACCAGGTACGGGATTGTTGGAAAAATATTAAACTCGGTGATATTGCTAGATTTTTATGGAATATTTTTTCCCTGGGAAATTTCCCCGGGAAAGATTCTGGCCTGTCAGAAGTTAATAAATTGCTCAAACATGATTTTTTTTGGTATTCGCCAGTGAATGCAGGAACAATGTGCGAACATAAGTAGCAAGATGCTATTTTATTATTACCAGAAATATAGGCAACAAAGGACCTGGAGGCCTAGACTTTAAAACGCAAGAGTAAACAGTCCTATATCTTAGACTCTCTCTACGTTTACGGTTTAAAATTGTCATAAAAATAATTGGAATTAATGTTTCAGATTTATTGAATTTATTTGAATGCTGTGTTTAAGGTTTCTGTAGTTGCTGTGGAAGATAGAGCACGAAGTATTCAAGCTCGACCTCTTCCTGAGCTACCTAGTTCAACCAGTACTCCAGCTAAACTTCAACTCAGGTAGATCCCCCCATCCATGATATAGAGGGGGATCTTAAAGTGACATTCCTTTTATAGAATGTCATATTCGATTCTCAACGTGCCCTTACAATCTTTGTTAGATCAAGAATTAATCCATGATTTCTTTATGAGAATTTACTATTTCTAAATGTGGTTTCTACATTGTAAACGGATTTCTGTTCCAGAAATAATGGACGAAATTGTCAGAATTAAACAATTTTCAAACTAGGAAACGACGATATCTTCCCTTTGATTGATCAGATGATTTTGTGACATGAGACATGGGACATGTCACGAAGAGGGTCGCATGTCCTTTCAACGGCATTGTTTTTCTGAGAAAAGTGGTTTTAAATATGTTCAAATATGTTTAAATATGTTCAAATATGTTCAAAATATGGTTAAATATGTTCAAATATGTTTAAATATGTTCAAATATGTTTAAATATGTTCAAATATGTTCAAATATGTTTAAATATGTTCAAATATGTTAAAATATGATCAAATATGTTTAAATATGTTAAAATATGTTTAAATATGTTCAAATATGTTTAAATATGTTTAAATATGTTTAAATATGTTTAAATATGTTTAAATATGTTTAAATATGTTTAAATATGTTAAAATATGTTAAATTATGTTTATATATGTTCAAATATGTTTAAATATGTTCAAATATGTTTAAATATGTTTAAATATGTTAAAATATGTTTAAATATGTTTAAATATGTTTAAATATGTTCAAATATGTTTTTTAAATGACAAATCTTTTCAATACTCCTGATTCAGGATAAACCCAGAGGATGAGGGGATAGAGATAGTTAACTCGGAGAATATATCAATCGGAGGCGGAGGTGGAAGGAATATATCCCTCCGACATCAGGATACGGTCGGAGGATCAAGGAATGTATCCCTCCGACATCAAGATACAGAGCTTAATCATGGAGAGCATAGTTTACTTGTTCCGCCCCAGGTTTGAATATTTTTATTTAGATGATAAACATTTTATTTATTGTTTGAAATCCCATATAATAAAAAAATTTAAACAATTCTATTCAATAAATGTTAAATAATGTTTTTTATCATTTTAATCAAAAAAAGAATTTAATAAAGTAAGATGATTTTTAAACCAGTGCTTAGGATCTAGATCCGTTGGATCCGGAAGATTTTGGCTTCCTGGAGACGGATTCGGATCCGAGGGGTAAAATATCAACAAAAAATGCAAAAAAAAACTTTTTTACTGCTAACACTCAAATCTGAACTATTGAAAAAAGAGAGATCATAAAAATTTCCTCATTTCTGAAGGGTTCATTAAGTTTTAGAATAAAAATAAAACAAAAATTTGAAAATTTTGTTTTGTTAAACAAATTCAGTAAAGCTTAAAGAAATGACCTGGATCCGGATCCATTTTTTCCAGTGCGGATCCTTAGCACTATTTTAAACAATTCAATTTCTTTTATTTCGTTAATTTTCTTAAACATTGATGGTTAACAAAGTCCAAGTTATTTAAGTAAAAACCTTCAAGACATTTTGCGTGGGTTCATTGCACAGGTTTACTCACAAACAATGAAACTTCGGAGACGACTTAACGGTTTATGAGCAAATTTTTTTTTTTTTGCAGTTTTTGGTTAATATTTTACCTCTTGGATCCGGATCCGTGGATCCTCATATTTTTGCGGATCCGGATCTAAGAAGCCAAAATCTTGCGGATCAGGATCCTAAGCACTGCTTTTTGGGCAACCCTGTATATTTTTTCCCCTAATAAGATTTTACTTTAAAGAAACACAAATGATGCTCATATGCAAAATTTTATTCAGATTCCTCAAAAAAAGAAATCAGGATTCCCAAATGTATTCAATATTCAAATTTGTCAAACTCACCATTCCCTTTCATCTATATATAAATTTGGCTTGTCTGTCTGTCTGTCTGTCTGTTTGTTTGTATCCAATAAACGTCAAAACGGCAGAACCGATCGGGCCCAAATTTTTTGTGGGACATCTAGGGACCCCAGGGAAGGTTTATGAATGATCAAAATTTCAAATATTTGTCTCCATCAAAATTCGATCTTCATTAAATTTTTTAAAATTTTGAATATTCACGAAATTTTTTGTGAAAATCCGCGAATTATTTTTGTTTTGTTTTACGATGTGCACAAAGAGAACATGTTCACAATTAATTTAGAAGACGGGTCTGTCTGTCTGTCTGTTTGTTTGTTTGTATCCAATAAACGTCAAAACGGCTGAACCGGTCGGGCCCAAATTTTTTGTGGGACATCACGTGACCACAGGGAAGGTTTATGAATGATAAAAATTAAAAAAAATGTGTTTTAAAGGTTTTTAATTTTGTAAAAAAATTAAAATTCTTGAAAATCCGCGAATTTTTTTTTAAAAATCGGCAAACTTTTTTTCTTCTTTGTTTTAAAATGTAAACAAAAAGAACATGTTCACAATTTAAATAGAAGATGGGCGCGAAGCGCCCTAAAAGCCTAGTTTAGAATATTTTAATAGATTTATGACTGTTGGGAACCCATTTTTTATTTTTCCCAAATAAATAAGATATTTTAATCCATTTTAGAATATTTTAAAAGATTTATTACTGTAGGGAACCCATTTTCTATTTTTCTCAAATAAATAAGATATTTTAATTTTATTTTAGAATATTTTAATAGAATTATGATTGTTAGGAACCCATTTTCTATTTTTCCCAAATAAATAAGATATTTTAATCCATTTTAGAATTTTTTAATAGATTTATCACTGTTGGGAACCCATTTTCTGTTTTTACCAAATAAATAAGATATTTTTATTCATTTTATAATATTTTAATAGATTTATGACTGTTGGGAACCCATTTTCTATATTTCCCAAATAAATAAGATATTTTAATCCATTTTAGAATATTAATGGTTTCATGACAGTGACTGGGACAGTAAAGCGAGGAAAAAACAAAGGTATCTAAATTGTACTAAATATACAGTGAATCCCAGATATATGAATACCTAGCAAGAGTTTTTTATAATGTCGTATTGCATATTCAAGATCAAATGCCGCGGAAAAAATGAGTTTACTTTTTAAATATCAATTGAATTCATATTTCAGGGTTATTAATGTACCTTGAATTAAAAATAAAAAGAAGTTTCTTTAGAATGATCAAAAAACTTAAAAGACGGTCTTTGTATTCACTGTATTATACATACTTCATCAAGCAGTGAGTACAGTACATAAACTTTATTGTACTGCTCTACCCAGAATTTCGGAGAAAACGAAAGAACTTTTTAAATCATGGAATGTTGCAGATATGTATTTTTGTAATTACTGAGATTTAGAAATAACAGTATAAAACACGTTGAAAAATTGTCAAGACAACATTTTACAATTTTTTTCGTCTCCTCTGAAGTTCTGTGTTTAATTTTACCAAGAGATTTAACTTTAAAAAGTCAACAGGCAGTTTAAACTTCTCTCGGTGAAAGTTCCTTGGAACAGTACAGACACAGTACATATAGAGACAACTTAACCATTAATTATATCCATAATAATCAAATTGTCTGAAGTTAAAAATTCAGTCAACATCCTTTAACATTTTCCCTTAATGGAAAACTTTTTAACTTTTAAACCGTTAAAATTTGTTTTTTATTGAAAATGATTTTTCCCATTTAAAGTCACAAACTTCAGTTTGATCTGTGTTCGTTTAATGTTCCTGAGTAAGTATTTCTTAAACAGCATTTTCACAAATAAATTATTTTTACAGTAAATGACTTAGATTAGGTTAGATGTTTTTTTTTTTGTAGACATTTGTGGGAACTAATTTTTTTAAAATATTCATTTCTATTTAGGAGAATGTTTTGATGTCCAGCTAAAGATGAACAAGGATAAACTAATTGATCTTCAGCAGGTTAAAGTCTTAAAATTTTTTATTTTTTAATTTTTAACTGTTTAAATATCGTAAATAGGCGCTTATAACAGTAACTAGGAGTTTAGGGAGACAGAGAGAAATGGCAAATCCAAGTTAAACGTACACACATAAGAAACTTAAGGTAAAAAGTGAAATTGAAGAGGAAAACAAGATAATCAATAAGGAATGCCTGGATTCATCTCCAACGATGTATTACCCTGGAGAACAGAGGTTTTTTACCTCTCTGGGTCTAGGCTTGCTATGGAAAAGCTCGACTTGCACTTCTTAGAAACAGGACTGATGAGCCAGTTTTTAAATAAAACCTATTCACCTATGGGAAAAATGTAAACATCCACCAACCACGCACCTTATAATGTGGAGGATCATAAAGTACAAGTATCATTTACAAGTACTGCCCAAGATGTTCTTATACATCAGTTTCAAGAATCCAACTGTTAATAATCTACTCCTTGCCAAAACTCCTTTTATCACATTTGTCATTATTTATAAGTGGAGATTTTGACATTGGCTGTTCTTCAAAATTTCTAAATTCCACGTTTGGTGCAGTGTTCCTTTTTCTTTTCTCGCCCTTCAACAGAGCAAGGAAACATTGATTTTGTATAGATTTATATTTAGTAAAGTCATCAACATTCAACAATTTACAAACCTGCTGTTTCCAGAAAACAGAGCTATGAAACGTACACATTAATTGTGTATAGATCTATATTTTGTATAGGCATCATTCAACAATCTACAAACCTGCTGATTCCAGAAAACAGAGCTATGAAACGTACACATTAATTGTGTTTAGATCTATATTTAGTATAGGCATCATTCAACATCTACAAACCTGCTGAGATAGCAAATATCAAATTCCTGAAAATTTGCAATGGTTATTATTTCATAATTGTTATGGGTTCAGTGTCTGAGATATTGAATTTAGAAATATATAATGAGCTAAACTTCCTTGTAACAAACCAGAAATATCGGACAGAATTCAAACAGAAGCAGAGATTAGCAGAATTCTGAACCAATGAATAGAGAAGAAGAATGTACAGACTATTTCTTATGCCAATTATTTTGAAAATATTAAAAATAAATATTGGGGTACTGTTTCTCATGTGGGGTTTTGGGGTCCTGGGATCCTTCTCCTCCCCAGGGGGGAGGGTCCTGGGACCCAAAGAATCCCAAAGTGGGAAAAATTGGAATACTGTAATACTAGTAAAATGATTTCGTACAATTTTGTAATTATCTTTCATAGAAACCTTTTTAAGTAAAAAAAATTGTAAAAAAAAATTTATTTGTTAATTTTTAACCAGTATTTCTAAATGTTTGTGTCGTAAAAAATGTAGGGCTTACTTTAGCTGAGTTGGTGGGAATAAATAGATTTTCGGCTGAAAACTTTAATTTTTGTAATTATTCAAAACATATTTAGGATAAAAGCTGTTGCTGTGGACTAAAGAAAGGTTTTCATATATTCTTGTTGTCCCTGCTGATAGTCCCCTGGGCCTGGCTGTTCTGCACCCTCTACGCCTTCTACATGGGGACCATCACCTGGTACAATGTATTCATCTACTACAACGAGCAGAGAACATGCTGTCATACGGTTAGTCACTTAATCAACCTTTCATTCGCTCATTCGTCCATATTGGTTATTTTATCAGTTATTCTTTAATGTCAATTAGTTTTTCGGTTCCTTGTGTGTCTGTTGTCAACCAGTAATGCTTCCATGCCAGTGATTCTTCCATATCAATTTCTCAATCAGTCAACTTTTTTGACGGTTATTCAATTGTTAATCAATTTGTCACACCCTTCCACGGGAGTTTATCAATCCATGGTGGTTAATCGATCAGTTACACTTTAATGACAGTTAATTAATTGATCACCCTTCCATGGCAGTTAATCAATTGGTTACCCTTCCATGATTGTTAATCAATTGGTTACCCTTTCATGGCTGTTTATCAATCAGTTACACTTCCATGCTAGTTTATTAATTGATTTTCCTTCCATGGCTGTTAATCAATCAGTTACCCTTACATATCGGTTAATCAATCAATTACCCTTTCATGACTGTAAATCAATTGGTTAACCTTCCATGGCGGTTGATCAATCAATTACCCTACCATGACAGATGATCAATAGGTTACCCTTCCAAGGCTGTTGATCATTCAGTAACTCTTCCATGATGGTAAATCATTCGGTTACTCTTCCATGTTGGTTAATTAATCAGTTACCATTCCATGTTGATTAATTAATTGATAACTAAAAATAGTATAAAGAACCTGTTCAGGAGAATAAGTAAAACTCAAACAAATTATAAATATGTTTTATTTTGTAAATCAGAGAAATATAGTGTTCCAATTTGGCACTGTAAAATTCTGGTCCTAAATTTAAAGTTTGTTTGAGCTTAATTGGACTCATTAGATTATTTCCGACAATTGGAACTGAGATCGGTATCCCCCTGTGTACTACTTTATCCGGTATTGTTCTAGATATTTGGTATCCCCATGTATACTATTGTATCCTGTATTATTCTAGATAATTGTATATCCTTGTATACTATTGTATCCGGTATTGTTCTAGATATTTGGTATCCCCCTGTATACTATTGTATCCTGTATTGTTCTAGATAATTGTATATCCTTGTATACTACTATATCCGGTATTGTTTTAGATATTTGTATCCCCATTTATACTACTGTATCCTGTATTGTTCTAGATATTTGTATCCCCCTATATACTACTGTACCTGTATTGTTCTAGATATTTGTATCCCCCTGTATACTACTGTATCCGGTATTGTTCTAGATATTTGTATCCCCCTGTATACTACTGTATCCTGTATTGTTCTAGATATTTGTATCCCCCTGCATGTATACTACTGTATCCTGTATTGTTCTAGATATTTGTATCACCCTGTGTACTACTGCTGTACCCTGTGTGGATTCTACCTGTAACTGTACTGCTGGGCATGTACGGAGGTTGGAGGCAGGTCTCCTGGTCATGTACGAGATGGAGGTTAGTATCTTGGTCATTTACGAGATGGAGGTTAGTATCTTGGTAATGTACGAGATGGAGGTTAGTATCTTGGTCATGTACGAGATGGAGGTTAGTATCTTGGTAATGTTCTCATGGAGGTTAGTATCTTGGTCATCTACGAGATGGAGGTTAGTATCTTGGTCATGTACGAGATGAAGGTTAGTATCTTGGTCATGTACTCTATAGATGGAGGTTATTATCTTGGTCATGTACTCTATAGACGGAGGTTAGTATCTTAAACATATACTCTATCGATGGAGGTTAGTATCTTGGCCATGTACTCTATAGATGGAGGTTAGTATCTTGGTCATATACTCTATAGATGGAGGTTAGTATCTTGGTCATGTACTCTATAGATGGAGGTAAGTATCTTGGTCATATACTTTAGATGGAGGTTAGTATCTTGGTCATATACTTTAGATCAAGGTTAGTATCTTGGTCATGTACTAGATGGAGGTTAGTATCTTGGTCATATACTTTAGATGGAGGTTAGTATCTTGGTCATGTACTAGATGGAGGTTAGTATCTTGGTCATGTACTATATGGAGGTTAGTATCTTGTTCACGTACTAGATGGAGGTTAGTATCTTGGTCATATACTTTAGATGAAGGTTAGTATTTTAGTCGTTTACTGGATGGAGGTTAGTATCTTGGTCATATACTTTAGTATGGAGGTTAGTATCTTGTTCACGTACTAGATGGAGGTTAGTATCTTGGTCATATACTTTAGATGAAGGTTAGTATTTTAGTCGTTTACTGGATGGAGGTTAGTATCTTGGTCATATACTTTAGATGAAGGTTAGTTTTTTGGTCATGTACTCTATAGATGAAGGTTAGTATCTTGGTCATGAACTGGATGTAGGTTAGTATCTTGGTCAAGAACTAGATGGAGGTTAGTTTCTTGCTCATGAACTAAATGAAGGTTAGTATCTTGGTCATATACTATAGATGGAGGTTAGTATCTTGGTCATGTACTCTATAGATGGAGGTTAGCATCTTGGTCATATACTTAAGATGAAGGTTAGTATCTTGGTCATGTACTCTATAGATGGAGGTTAGTATCTTGGTCATGTACTAGATGGAGGGAAGTATCTTGTTCAGATACTAGATGGAGGTTAGCATCTTGGTCATATACTTCAGATGAAGGTTAGTATCTTGGTCATGTACTCTGTACATGGAGGTTAGTATCTTGGTCATGTTCTAGATTGAGTTTAGTATCTTGGCTATGTACCAGGTGGAGGAAACATTACGGAGTCTCTATTTAAACTAAGTATATTTCTGTTATATATAATGTAATTAAGTAATGACAATATGGGTTTAACAGAGTTATATATATATATTTGTACATACATTTAATGGGTTAATCGCAATACATGATTTACGCATTTACTAGTGGGCATATTTAGCTATATGGACAATACAACGTAATTTACTATGGGCCTCTATAGTTGCTACATAATAGTTTTAATATTTTCTTGTTGGACCCATATGCTCAACCCCCACCCCCCACATCCCCTTCCCAAACCCCTTCGCCCACAACATCCCTTGGCCACTGCCTTCCTCGAAGAAAAATCACTTTTTCTATCATATTTCTTGTAAGAGTTTTGAAAATGTTAGTTAAAGCCTGTGACATTGTTGTTGGACCCATGCTAACAATTTTTTACTTTCTTTTTAGACGTGAACTGTTTGATCCTGAGAAGGGATTCTATGGTTGGATTTGTAATAAACTATCAATCCCAGACTGCTCACCATATCAGGTTATTTGGACAAGTGTGCTTAACTTCAGTGATCTAACGAGAACTGGTGTCACACACTAGCCACCCCACCCCACAAAAATAATGATAATAATAATAATAATAATTACAATGACAATGAACATGACAATGACGACCACCCCCAGACCACTATCAGACCAAATCATCTACATGCTGCAATTGTAAACAATACAAATACTATACTGTAAAGAGGCATGAATAGCTGAGGTTCAGCTTATTAGCTCAAGGAGTAGCTAAGGTTTAGCTTATTAGCTCCAGAGATTAGATTTTAAAAGCTTAAACCCGACTAAAACCCGGTCTTTGTGTCTGCTTAGACCCAAGTAAAGCTCGAGTCAAGACCCGGGTTTTGGATGGCCTTGAGTTTAGTAAGAACCAACCCTCTTGGGTTTTACTCTCTTTAAGGCTTGAGTCTTCAACAGCTGATGATTGTAAATTTCGTAAAATCTTTTATATTTGTACATTTAAAATCTCGGGAATTATTTGTGGTGTCAAATTTTATTAATTATATAAAATAAACATACTATGAAAATAATGTATTTACATAAAGTTTGAATTTTCGAAATTTACATCTCCTTGTCACAGCTGATCTGACCGCATTCTGTCTGCTACAGAGAGAAAGCTTGCAAAACAGTCTCTCATTGGTCGAATCAGAACCAATCCTGACTTGGGTTCTATCTAAGCCCAAGTTTGGGTTTTAGTCGGGTTTAAGCTTTTAAAATCTCATCTCAGGAGTAGCTGAGGTTTAGCTTATTAGCTCCAGGAGTAGCTTAGGTTTAGCTTATTAGCTCCAGGAATAACTGATAGTACGATGAATGAATAGTGATTTTGTGATTAAGAAGTTAAAGCTTGAGATGTCATCCTTGTCCAGTTATTGAGCTAATTTTGACCAGGAGGGTGTGTGTTTTGGCCATGGATTATATCACATCGGGGTCACCACTTTAGAAGTACATTTATTGCTTCTAATTGTAAAAATAAATAATGAGTGTATAAAAGGAGAGGAAGTTGAGTAGGTCTTCTCTGGTTCCAGGATCCGACACTACTGTTTGCAGATTCTTTAATCCTCGTTCAGGGATTTCTTCCTATAAAACGTCTCTTTTTTTAGGGTTTTGTGTATCCATGCTGGCGTAGGTCAAAACTAAAATCGAACGTCGTCTTCATTGTATTGATACATACGATGACGAAGACTTTTTTAATAATTCATGGTATAGTCACCTACCTCAGTCACTCGGTTGACTTAAGACCAGCCTTTCGCAGTTTCAGTCAAACAGGAGAGAAATGATCACTCGTGATCGGAAATATTTTAATATTTTAATACTTAAATAATATATTTGGGGGGATCAGCAATATTGAGTTAACACTTTAAACCTTTTATTCAAGTCGAATAAAGCTCGGCCGCTTAAGATTTTTTTTAAAGAAAAGGTTCTACGTCGTAGTAATATTGCTTTAAAGTTTTAAAATAAGACGGAAAACTGGTCATATTTACGTGAAAACACTTAAAATAAATTTTTTTACACGAATAAGAGTCAAAACAAATGATTTGGAACGGGAAAATTATAAATTGAAATCATTATAAATTAATGCAAGGTACAATTGATATACAATGTTTTTAAATGAAAAAACTTCATAATACATTTGAAGTGTCCATTCTCACTGTCATCTATGAAATTTTAAGGAGTTTGAATTTGTTCAGGTGGTGATCCTATCCTCTCTTCCGCACGATCCTCTGACAGTTACTAGCATGGTCTAAACTCATCTCAGTTATAAACACGTGTTGATCTTTACACCAACACGTGCTTTACACTGGCAAAAGTTGACCTACACACTGAAAAGTGTTGTACACCAACTTTGTTAACCAAAGAAAATGTTTCTCTAAATATGGCTTACCTCAAAAAACTAAATCGTTTTCTTGACTGCTTTATAATAATCAAAGTTAACAGTTCCTAGTCCTCTCGTGTAAAACAATGTAAAAAGTAAAGCGGGACTCATAAAACTGAAATAGGCAAAACTAACTTTTAAAAATCCAATTGAAATTGAACCACAATAATTATGCAATGCAAACAGGCCTATTTTACTTTTAAAGTGATTTTTAAGCTAACTTGATAACATTGTTCGCTTTTTATCCTATGCCACAGTCTTACGGTAGCAGAAAGTAAAATCTAGTCTGTTAATCTTGACCAAACTAGTTGTAAGTAAAGTTATGGTTTTCAGCCAAAATGTATATTTTTACCGATGTTAATTGACATTAAAGGGACTGTAAGGAAAAATGAAAGGGGGTTACAGGATGAAACCTGAAAATCTCAGGAGTTGAACAATACCTATAAGACACCTATCTCATGTTTCTGAATATCTATTAAAAATGCAAAATAAAAAAAATAATAATGGGAGCAAACCTGAGATTCTCTGGTTTCTTTGCGATAAAATCGTTTTTAGATTATTTGTGTATTTTCAGAATAAGAAATGTTTAAACCTACAATTTTTATGCAAAATTATATATATATATTTAGATTTTCGTATAATTTTACACAGTTTGATATCAATTTCTCGAGACAGGAAAATCAGATAGATGTCTTATATGTATTGTTCAACTCCTGAGATTCTCAGGTTTTAGCCTATATACCCTCCTTTCATTTTTCCTTCACAGTCCCTTTAATTAAATCAGTCTTCGTCACTTTTTTACAAAAATTATCATTTCTTATAAAAAAAAATTTAACCTTCGTTTTATGTATGTTTTTTTTTAATGTACATTATACATTGGTTAACGTCCAATCTTTTTACAGATCTCATAAAAATCTACCTCCGACACTGTGGTTTAATATTGGAGGGATTCTTCATTCATCAGAGGACAGGGGTGTGGTGTATTGTTTGAAGAGATTCTATCATTGTATTCAACCGATCGAATTGGCTATTTCTGATTTTATTCTCCTCTTTGGTTGGATTTACTGCTTTTCGCTTTTAAATCGATGGTTAATATAAGCAACATAATTTTTTTTAATAATTTATCCAATTGAATCGAGTCTAAAGAAATATCATAAAAGCACTGTACTTTAAAAACAGGATACACACATATGGATTTTCCTGAAACGTTTTAAAAATGGCGTCTAAACTCTAAACTCTAAAAGAGCTTTTGACATTTCAAGAATTAATTATAGACACCGCGCTATCTTTTTGAATGCGAAACATGTTTCAATTTTTTTTGGTTTAATTACAATATGTCTGAAAAAAATCTTCAGGATAAATTACTGCATCTATATTTGTACTTTGCTTGTCTGTCTGTCTGTTTGTATTCATTAAACGTCAAAACGGAGGAACCGATCGGGCCCAAATTTTGTGTGGGACCTCGCATTACCCCAGGGAAGGTTACTGGATGATCGAATTTTCACAAATTTGCCTCTTAAAACCTAACCTAAAACCTTAAAATTCGGATAAATAAAAAAATTTAAATCCACGAATTTATTTACAAAGAAAAAATGTTGAACAATGAAATAGAAGATGGGTCTTAAAAGACTAGTAGAACTTATGTTTGGTCTGAATCACATATAGCCAAATAATCAGTACGTTGTTTGATCTCTAATTAAGAAAAGTTTTACCACAACCCTGTACTCTGATTCCTGAACTATCCCTTCATCAACCGTCAATTTTGTACAATTTTTAACAAAGTATTTTACATTACGGCGTTATTAGAACTCAAACACACAACAATAATCTACAATGCAATTTTCTATTTAAAACTAGTTAAAATAATGAAGAAAATTAGTTAAACATTTTAAAGAATTTTTGTTGATATCACGTTTTTTTATTGCTTTGAAAATTCTTTCACAAAGTAATTTTTTTTCTTTTCAAACAAGAAAATCGATCTTTTACCGCACTTTTTCCTTCTCCAAAATATCGAATGTGAACATTTTCAATATTTCATTCTGAAAAAAAGTATTTTTTCTGGGCCCAGGAATGTACTCGACTCGAAGTACTCAGCCAAAGCTTTCGTTTTTGATTTATTTTTTTTCTTCACTTTGAGATTTAGACTTTTCTTATTTAAGATCTTTTGTTAAAATGTATTCAGAAAAATTTGCCAAAATGCATTATTTGAAATTTTGTTGACTCGTCATATTAAGCTGTACACTTTGTAAACTTGTAAACAGTGTAAATACTTTAACTGACTGTACATAAAAACTTTGTATTTGTGCAGTACGTGTATTTGTTCAGTACATTAACAAAATTTTGTTTACTTTTTGATCTCATTATTTTTCGTAGAATTATAAATAAAGAATGCCTACTTGTTTTTTTTAAATTCTATGGTTGCGTAGAGTAAAAGGGTTGCGTAGAGTTAAAGGGTTTGGTCGTATAGTTGCATAGAGGAAAAGTGTTTGGTTGTATGGTTGCTAAGAATTAAATGGGTCTACGTCCATGGTACTAACTATATTTCTATCCAGCAGGAACAGGTTGCCACGGAAATTTAATTTTGAAGACTGGGTCAACTTAAAGTGTCGCAACGCCTTGGTTTTTTCATCAACTATACTTTTTGTAGCTCTAGACATTTTCATTTTAAACTATGAAGCACTTGATCTTGAAAAAGGAATTGGCAAAATCCTAATCGATGATTTTTGCACGTAAGCTTGCAACCTTTGTATCACAGGCTCCAGGTTTGATACAGGGTGTCCCAATAAACATGGGAATTCAGTGACGAATTCGATATTGTCTTTGTTCTGAATTAGCATTGTAATACCTAATTTCAAAAGCCATAATATTATTATGTCTGCTAGAGTTTAATTTATGAAAAGGGTAAAAGACTGAAAAGATGTGTCTATAATGTCTCCGCAAGATGAACAGTGAAGACGGACAAGTTTACTCTGTTTGTATACTGCAATTTTCTTGTTTTACTAAGTACAACCGCATGCAGTAAAAACATAAACAAGCAAATTGTAAACAAAGCAGATGAAACTCTTAAGGATTACAGCTTTCTCAGTGATCTCAGTAGGTATTACTTTACTTAATTAAAGAATTATTTAAAAAGACGATATCAAATTCGTCACTGAATTTCCATGTTTGTTGGGACACCCTGTGGTATAATCTGCCTATATAGTGTTTTTTCAAACATAAAAAAGTTTCTTATAAAAAGATTTTTACATTTCTCATCTTGACACATTGTTGGTGTCCTGCCACTGCAAACATAGAAGACATCTTTTTTAGATCCAAGGCGATCTATAAGTCTTGTTTTAAACTGTCATGTTTTGTGAAACACCCTGTTCTTAAACTGTCATGTTTAGTGGATCACCCTGTTCTTAAATTTTCATGTTTATTGGAACACCCTGTTCTTAAACTGTCATGTTTATTGGAACACCCTGTTCTTAAACTATCATGTTTATTGGAACACCCTGTTCTTAAACTGTCATGTATATTGGAACACCCTGTTTTTAAACTGTCATGTTTATTGGAACACCCTGTTTTTAAACTGTCATGTTTATTGGAACACCCTGTTCTTAAACTGTCATGTTTATTGGAACACACTGTTCTTAAACTGTCATGTTTATTGGAACACCCTGTTTTAAACTGTTATGTTTATTGGAACACCCTGTTTTTAAACTGTCATGTTTATTGGAACACCATGTTTTTAAACTGTTATGTACATTGGAACACCCTGTTCTTAAACTGTCATGTTTATTGGAACACCCTGTTCTTAAACTGTCATGTTTATTGGAACACCCTGTAGAATTCCAACTCTGTATTCTGTGTAAAATATCTAAGTTTGAAAGAGAGGGTGACCTGGGATGATTTTCCTAAACTTGGGATGAACTTGCGATATTTTGGCTTTTCATGCATGATAATTATTTTCAGTGGATGATAATGATATATTTTGGAATCTAAGATTCTTTCAACCACAGGAAGGACACAGAATATACCAAACATATAGATATATATAAATTTAATTTGTCTGTTTGTTTGTTTGTATCTAATAAACGTCAAAATGGCTAAACTGACCGGGCCCAAATTTTGAGTGGGATCTCACGTGACGCGGGGGAAGGTTTATGAATGATCAAAATTTCAAAAATTTGTGTTAAAAAGTTTTTTCATTTTGTAAAATTTTTTAAATGCGCGAAAAAATATTATGAAATCCGCAAACTTTTTTTTGTTGTTGTTTTATACTGTACAAAGAGAAGATTCTCAGAGATAAAGCCAAAGAGAATAGAATATTTATTAAAGTGGAATTTATTGAAAAAAGTGTAAAACGGCCTTTTTGTTGTACTGTTTTCATACTGCAGTTGTACTTCACATATTTATGCTATATAACCTTTTGGGCCCTGAAACATCATTTTATAGAAAATCTAAAATTAATATTAAAAGAAAACCAAATTATGATTCATAATTGACCAATGATCATTTCACATAATCTCTATGCCTTTCACTTTACAAACGATGGTTTTCCGTTATAACTATAAATCAAATAATGTTTTTTATTCACCTATTTCATTTTATAAAGTTTATTTAACAGCTTAAAGAAATTCGAAATTAAATTGAAATGGATAGTCTAGGGAACATACTGTATAAATGTACTCTACTGTGAACATTTACATGATTTGTACACTTTGAACTCCCTTTCAGGCTGAAAGGGACTGACAAAATTCATACCGAGAGATTGTCTAAATTCCTCTCTAATATATTTTCTATTCTCTTTGGATAAAGCTACAATTAAAAGATGAAATAGAAGATTAGCGCGAAGCGTTCTAAAAGCCTAGTAGATATACATTTGTTTACAATGAAGTGTACTGCAGTTTCTTTATTTTATTATTATTTTATTTCCTTCAGAATTTTTGTGTTGCTTACAGAAAACTCTTGAACAGGAAGTCGGCTTTTAAACTTAAGTCTTCTAAATACTCCAATAAGCATGAGGCACAACTATTGTGTAGTGTAAACAGACCCATTTCACTTAATAAGTGATTATAATAACTTACTTTGTTAAGTTATTTGCTTTGTAACAACATCAAGAGCACTATAATTCAGTATTCCTTTAATGTCGTCTTCCTATTCTACAGTTTTCTGGTTATCACTGTATAGTCATTTTTGATATTTTGAGATAATATGATTAAGATAAAATTTACTTTAGTTTATTTGTTTCAACATCATTATCTTTTTTCTAATCCATCTCCAGTTATTCTATATTTACATACATACAATATATAAGATAATTTTATATGATTTTTTTCATTTCCGGGCTTTGAGTTGCAGCATTAAAGTTACTTTATTTTATGGGGAAATGTGTAAGTTATTCTTTATTTTTTATAATTTTTCTAAATGTGTGAGCAAGCAAGGGTTTGCAGTAAAATATTAAGATTCTCAATTACACAAGTGCATGTGAACAGTACTGTACAGTGTACGTTTGTAACAGGACAGTTTCACATCATTACATGAACATTGTACAGTACTATACACATTTACACATGTGTTATGTGTACATGACTGTTACAAATTTACATACAGCTCTTTATCTACAGTTAAACCCGAAATGAGCCATACATCAAAAGAATTTATCTAATGTCGTCTTGAAAGATTTTCAATGGGTTTTTTACTATTTTACGTAAATCTCAGCATTGCGAAAATAAATAAAAGCCATAAATATGCGGGAACTGCAGTTTTAATTAAAAAACTAAAAATCTGCAGCATTCAATTATCAGAAAGTGAAGAATACGACATTTGATGAATTCTTTCGATGTATGGCTTATTTAGGGTTTAACTGTACGTTCAACAATATTGCATTGATCACAGGGTCATAAGGAATTCTAAATTTAAGCCTTCACAGAGTACAGACTCGTAACTTGTTAGAAAGAGAATTAATTTTCAAAAAATATTAATATTTTTATCAATTCTTTTTTAACGGACTTCTTTTTTACTTTTTGTGTATTAAATGTCGATAAAACGTTGTTAGAAAGATATCAGAATGTTTAAATAAACAAATAAAACTTTATACCTGTATATATTATACATTTTATGTGTTTCAATTGGGTAATCATAACTTTGAGATTCAAAATATTATTTGAGTATTTTGTTGTTTTAACTTTCAGTTTTTTATATTTTCTATTTTAAAATAAAAAGTAAAACTATGATTAATGGCAAATTTAAACTACAAAGTATAAACACTGAATAAAGAATGAAACAATAGTTTTAACAAAATAATTTTCAGTTCACATGAAAGTTATAAAATGAAAAAGTGCAAATTTGCCAGAAAGTAGAAAAAGCGCCAAGGTAAATTTAATAAAAGCTAGGACGTATGCATTTCAAAAATGAGAAATAATTATCTCTTTTGATAAAAAATATGTCAGTTTTGAATGTTAAAAAATGAATCCAAACAATTTTTTGCCAAAATTTGTGCTCAAATTAATTTGCAAAATTTCAAATTTGAAAATTGGTGACCGGGGTTTATTGATGGAGTCAATGTAAAAATTCTAATATTTTGAAAAACTTTTAATCCGATTTGAAAAGTTAATTTTGCAAGAAAAAGTCCAGAGAAAGGAGCAAATTCCTAGATAAAATTTCGTACACCGGTTTTTGTAAAAACACATACTTTTTAAATAATCGTTTTTGAAGATAAAATTATTGGAACAGGAAGTTTCTGATTCTAATAATCTTGGAACAGGAAGTTTCTGATTTGAACATTCTTTTACAAGAAAATTCTGATATTAATCATCTTGAAACAGGAAGTTCCTGATATTAATCATCTTGGAACAATAATTGTTTCTGATTCTAATCATCTTGGAACAGTAAGTTTCTGATTCTAGCATTCTTGAAATAAGAAGTTTCTGAATTCTGATAATCTTGGAACAGGAAATTTCTGATTCTTATAATCTTGAAACAAGAAGTTTCCGATTCTAATATTCTTGGAACAAGAAGTTTCTTATTCTAATATTCTTGGAACAAGAAGTTTCTGAATTCTAATAATCTTGGAACAAGAATTTTCTGAATTCTAATAATCCTGGAACAAGAAGTTTCTGATTCTAATAATCTTGGAACAAGAAGTTTGTGAATTCTAATAATCTTGGAACAAGAAGTTTCTGATTCTAATAATCTTGGAACAAGAAGTTTCTGATTCTAATAACCTTGGAACAGGAAGTTTCTGATTCTAATAACCCTGAAACAGGAAGTTCCTGATTCTAATAACCTTGAAACAGGAAGTTCCTGCTTTAATGTTCTCAGAACAGAAAGTTTCTGATTCTAATAATCCTGAAACAATGAGCTTCTGATTCTAATAACCTTGAAACAGGAAGTTCCTGCTTTAATGTTCTCAGAACAGAAAGTTTCTGATTCTAATAATCTTTGAACAAGAATAAGAATCTTGGAACAGTAAGTTTCTGATTCTAATATTCTTGGAACAAGAAGTTTCTGAATTCTGATAATCTTGGAACAGGAAGTTTCTGAATTTTAATAACCTTGGAACAGGAAGTTTCTGATTCTAATAATCTTGAAACAGGAAGTTTCTGACACTAATAATCTTGAAACAATTAGTTTCTGAATTCTGATAATCTTGGAACAGGAAGTTTCTGATTCTAATAATCTTGAAACAGTAAGTTTCTAATTCTAATATTCTTGAAACAAGAAGTTTCTGATTCTAATAATCCTGGAAAATATGACTAATATCTGAGCTAACTTTCGGAACTAAAGAAATATTATCTCCTATGAACTCAATCTTCCAGCAGGATTCGTCTCTGTTCAGTTTGGTCAGGATAAACCTCTCCAATCTATCCAACCTGGCCTGCCACGTCTCCAGGCTTCGTTCCAGTTCCATCCGCTCCCGGATAATCCTGTTTTTTCTTTCCCTCACCTCTTCAACCTCCTCCGCGAGGTTCGTAATTTGATCAACCTTCCGCTTCCGGCAATTCTGGGCCGCGATCTTGTTCTTTCCTCTCCTCCTAATATCCCTGCTCGTGTTTATCTGGTCTTCTGTCAGGTTGTTGCTCACTAACATGCTGTTGAAGTCGTCCATGGAGCAGTTGATGATACGCTCGGCGGTAAATGGGATTCCGAGTTCCTGGATTATTTTTTCGTCGCGGGATTTTCTTCCCCCACCGCCCCCGCCCCCGCCCCCGCCGCAAGATCCAGAACTTTCTGCAACTGAACCTAAGAACAAAACAATTTTATTTTAAACTGGGAATCCAGCTTTACATAAAAATCAAACCTTGCTTAGTACATTCCCGTTGTTTTACCGAGTTGCCCAAATAGAAAATGCTTTGCACATTGCGAGGTCAAGGGGTTTATGAGTTATGAATATGATAGGACACATCAAGGTTGTAATGCAAGGAAAGTTAATTGCAGTTGCGTATACTCTGCTTACGTACATATTGAAACCAGTTCTCTCTGGGTGGAACTTGTAAACAAGAATAGAGACATCTGTGTTCGTTTAGTATACGAGGAAGTTAAAAGCATTAAATTTTGATAATTTTGATAATTTATTGATTTGTAATGTGAAAGATGGATCCATGTTAAGCTTCAACATCCGTCTTGTGTTTACATTACTGCCCAGAGACAGTACACTGCAGTATAAAAGATGCGTACACCTCTGAAATAACTTTTCTTGCATTATAACCTTGGGACACATAAACAAACAAACAAACAAGGAAAACAAGGAATAAAGAATGAGAGAATGCAAGCATAAATGCATTAAACAGGTTTTAAAATTTTAATGTTAAAAAGGTTTAAGTATATGAACATCTTATCAATATGTATACTTAATTTCCCATCTGCAGTATCATTTCAAGAAAAAAAGAAAAAAATAGCCATAATATTTATTATTTAACATTTAACATATTCAATTATATTCCATGAAACAGTTATATCTAAATAACATAAACTATTTCCCCTTTACCTTGGCAGGTTTTATATCCCTGAAAAAAAACTATAACTGACCTGTACTCTCTGTATCAAAGTTGACCGCACTAAGCTTACTGTTTATCGACTCAGAGTTGATCGTTCCTATAAGATATAAGATTTTAAAAATTTCCTTTATTATATTTTTTTGTTTAAAGAAGATAGATGGCACAAGACGTAATCATAATAACAAATTTTTTTAAAAGCTGCGGCTGCGGAGGGGAGGAAGGCCAGTCACAAAAATTCTTGTCTGAGCCACATTCTCCCTATTTTCTCGTGCGAGCCACCTCGGAATCTTTTTTTAAAGTCTTTAATCCTCCAAGATAAAACAATTTTTCAAGAATCGAGCCTTGTTAGGGCATAAATGAAATAATGATTTTTGTAAATCGAAAAAAAGGCTGTAAATGAATTAAAGTTTTCGAGTTTAATGTCCTTAAAAATGTTTATCTTTTTTGTGCACATTTCAAATATTCCTGTCGAGTGGATCGAATGCCGCAAATATTTCCGAGTAAATAAAACTTTAATTTTTTTTGTTAATAATAGTAAAATCAATAGAATTTTTACGGTTGATTCCATGGGATAAATGATAGGTAAAGATTTGCCAAATATTTTGCTATTTTTTTTATCTTTAAGGTTGGCCATCATGGACGTAGATGAGATTTAAGTTTTACTTAATTAAAGTTTGACATCATTCTCATGGGTGTGAAGATTCCAACATGAGGTAATCATTTCAAAACTTTAGTCTATCCATATTTTATGCCCTAACATGGCCAGATTATTAAAAAAATAGTTTTATATTCGAGAATTGGAAACTTCAAAACACTTATAAATGAAGGACGAGGATTCCGAGGTGGCTCGGACAAAAAAATGAGGAAAATGTGGCTTTGACAAGAAATTTTTGTTGCTGGCCATCCTTTCTTCTCTGTCTCTCTTTAATTGTTTTTAAAAAGGTCAATAAAAAATCTTTAAAATGATAATTAAAGAATTTTCAAAAAATGACAATAAAAGAATTTATTAAAACGATAATAAAAAAATTTTAAAAAGACAATTAAAAATTGTTAAGAAAGATAATAAAAATAAAAGAGTCTTAAGAAAATTGTAAAAAAACAAAATTTATATTTATAATGTTATTATTATTAAAAACAATAAAAGAATCTTAAAGAAGTTTTTAAAAAATATGCTACCTATACTGACTAGACTAGATACAGTTGTCCCCCGAATGGATAATTCCTCAGCTTCTGGCGCAAAACTTCTGAACAATAAAAAAATAATGAATAATTATTTTTTTAATTTATTCGGTTACACTTGTAACAATTGTAAACAAGATATTTCCACCAGAAACTGCAAAAAACATAAAGATATGAGGGTTTCTATAAGTGTAACTTATTTGTATAAAACACTAATTAAAATTTAATATATTATTTGTTGATTTAAAGAATTTACAGTTTGAATAAACAAGAAAAATATGGATATCTAATTATATTTGATCAGACATCCTTGAATATATGCTTACAGTTCCTTTTCATTAAATATTTTTTCAACTTTTTGAAGTTAAATGTAATATCGCAACAAGATAATAAGGTCATAAAAGTTTTAAGTTTTCAGGTTTTTGTGACTGTTTCAATTCCACTTAGACACTTGTTTTGATTCGCAATATTTAATATATTTTTACCTTTGCAAATTCTCGTGTCTGTAGTCGTTTAAATAAATAGAACTGTCATTCGTTAGATTCAATCCGATTCCGTCCAATCCCAAGTTTGGAACAGTTTCTGGTCCCAACCCATAGGATTGGATGGTTTGGGAATAGGAGTTGGGAATAGATTCAGGTTGGGAGATCCATTCGTCAGGGGGCAGGGAGAGAGGGATAGAACACTCCTGAAATAATAATTAATAAAATTGATAGTGATAATGAAAGTAATAATGTACAATCTTACGCACAACGCCTGTTTAACCTGATTGCATCATTTGAAAAAAAAATTGGTAATTGCATCTTGGTGGCTGGATGTTAGTTGCATCACCCTGTCTGCCTATATGAGATGTGGCTTGATGCTTTAAATGCATCTGTTTGGATTGTATTACAGACTGAGTGTATATTTATATATACATAGATTTATAGATAGATAAATAGATAGATAGATAGATAGATGGATAGATAGATAGACTCCAGGAAAAATGCGCAAAATTATTTGCAAAAAAGAAAGATCGTAAATTGAGAAAAAGAGATTGAAGGGCCTCCACACTGGAATTTTCCAGGACAACATTAGCAACAAAAATCTAGCTAGAACTAGCTATTTTTAGCCCATGATTAGCTATTTTTAGAATTTTAGAAAAAAAGTACAAAAACATGAAGGAGGCGATAATGCAAGATTAATGGTGTCATTGATTCAATAATAACATACAATTATTTAGGATCGATTTTTAATATAAATATTGTTAATCTTGTTAATGACTTTTTAGCGATCTTAATGAGATACTGAGTGTAATATCAATCGTTAAACATAATTACAACTTTATTTGGAGAAAAATTGACAAAAAAATAGTGTGTTTTTTTTGTAAAAAGAAAGACCCCTGCCCCCCCCCCCCTCCGCCTACGGTGCGGTTGATGCTTTGTTTATTGTTACTTTGTATGCACATTGCACAATCTTTTACAACGATCCAAAAATTCTTCATTTTTGGTAAAAGTAAATTCAACCTATATGAAGCATAAAGCCTGACCGCGTTAACCTTGTTGCATCGGCTAGTCCTGTCCCCATAGAGTTAGGTACAGTTCAAACTGGGACCTGAAAGGTTGACCTGACTCGGAAATTCTTAAGTGTCGCCAGACCATTGTCCTTTGTTTGTCTTTACCCAACCACTTAATGCGTTTGTATTTAGCTAAACTTTACAGAAGTAATCGGCTAACCCAGATTCTAAGATTAAAACGGCCCTTTTTTAGTTCTAATAGCTTTAAATCTTTATATATAAAAAGTGTTAATGTCTGTTTATCTGTCTGCATATTTCTTTGTTTGTATGTCTGATAACTCATTGACCGATTTGACTCAAATTTGTTTGATGAACTAGACAGAAACAAGTTGAGTGGATTGAATTTTATATAGAAAACTCCAGGTAAATCTGGGTTCCCAGGCAAGTAATTACACATTTTTAGACGCTGTACAGTTCTGCAAACTATTGACATAGGGAGAAGGTCGAATTCGTGCCACATTACTGGTCCTACTTTGTGACCTCGTAGCTACTGTAGTTTAGATTTTAAGCACAAGTATTAGAAAAGTAAATATATCCGGTTACGATATTAGAAAAGTAAATATATCAGGTTACGATATTAGAAAAGTAAATATATCCGGTTACGATATTAGAAAAGTAAATATATCCGGTTACGATATTAGAAAAGTAAATATATCCGGTTACGATATTAGAAAAGTAAATATATCGGGTTACGACATTAGAAAAGTAAATATATCCGGTTACGATATTAGAAAAGTAAATATATCTGGTTACGATATTAGAAAAGTAAATATATCCGGTTACGATATTAGAAAAACAAACTTTTGTTTTTCTTAAAAGGTCTTTATCAAAAGACATTATGATTGATAGATATCATATAAGATTTGAACCTTACATGGAACTTACTTTACCTTTCCCTAATATTTGTTTAATTATCTATGCATTCAGTTAATACTCTTCTTAAATACATTTATTCTTGTTACGCATCCAATGGTTTTGAAAATGATAAATAGAAATAGAAATTATAACACCGCTCTCAGACCAAAACTTTTGGGTTGGATAGCGCTTAACCACATTTGTAATATGAACTTCATAATCATAGCGGAAACTTTTGAATGAAAGATTTAAAGTAGAATTCCAGGGATATACGGTGAATCCACCAAGAGATGATAAAAAATGTTTTAAAAACGGAATGGACCACCTTTGACAGGTTAAATGAAATCGTGTGGGGAAGGGAACCCAACGGAGAGATTTTTAGATTTATGGCAAGACCTCTAGACTTATAAGTGGGCCTTTTTATCCAGTTTAATCCAGATTAATCCGGTTTAATCCAGTTTAATCCAGTTTAATCCGGTTTAATCCAGTTTATTCCAGTTTAATCCGGTTTAACCCAGTTTAATCCAGTTTAATCCAGTTTAATCCAGTTTAATCCAGTTTAATCCAGTTTTATCCAGTTTAATCCAGTTTAATCCAGTTTTATCCAGTTTAATCCACTTTAATCCAGTTAAATCCAGTTTAATCCAGCTTAATCTAGTTTAATCCAGTTTAATCTAGTGTTATCCAGTTTAATCCAGTTTAATCCAGTTTAATCCAGGGTGAAAAATATCAGTATAAAAATGTCAAAGGATTAGATTCAAGTAGAAGATAATGATCTCAAACATAATAAATCTAAGCGCGGAAAACAGAACTTAAACTGACTCAAGGAAAAAACTTTAGTGTAGTAAAGTTAAGTTAAAACTAATCTTAAGTTGAGTAGAAAATAATCTTAAGTTGATTAGAAACTAATCTTAAGTTGAGTAGAAACTAATCTTAAGTTGAGTTGAAACTAATCTTAAGTTGATTAGAAACCAATGTTAAGTTGAGTAGAAACTAATCTGAAGTTGAGTTGAAGCTAATCTTAAGTTGAGTAGAAACTAAACTCAAGTTGAGTAGAAACTAATTTTAAGCTAAGTTGAAACTAAACTTAAGTAATGAAGAAACTAATCGTAAGTTGAGTAGAAACTAATCTTAAGTTAAGTGGAAACTAATCTTAATTTAAATGGAAACTAATCTTAAGTTAAATTGAAACTAATCTAAAGTTGAGTTAAAACTTATCATAAGGTGACACCAAAACTGAATAAATCTGAGTCTGAAATAAAGTTTCCAAAAGGAAGCAGAAAATGAACTTCTCAATAAACCAAACTGTACAAATACTGGACAAATGTTTGAATCAAGTTCTAAGAAAACAAAGCCAATAAAAACTAAAAGATGACGAGTCAATTTCCCGTTTAAATCAGTGAGCCATCATCCTGTTTGCAAAAATCTGTGCCATAAAAAGTGACTGGCAGGTTCTTTTTGTATTTTAATTTATGGTTAGAATTTTAATATATAATAATGATTGTGCACAAAATAAACAGCTGATGATTTGTGGAAAATATTTTAATTTTCGTTTTGTTGAATTAATCTTGGATGATTTTCTTAAAAACCTGTTTTTAAAAATAATACTAAAATGATTAAAATTTGCAAGAAAAACCTTTAAGAATGAAATAAACCTTTATTTCAAAGAGGTCATGTCACTTTATACCTTAATCTGATAGATAATGTGGAAGATATCGTTGTTCTCCAAGCTTGAAAGGTGTCAAATTCGATGAAAAACCACAATCGAAAATAACAATTTTTTTGAAGAGAAATCTTGGATATATAATTTACTCTTGGTCAAACAAATGTTTTTAGGCGAGGATAGATCGTTTTGAGTCGAACATGAAAAACTTTTCTTTTTTTTTACAGGAGGGTTAAAATTTGATCTAGTGTCTAAAAATGAACATTAGATTGACCTTCAGGTTTTAATCTTATCTAACCTGTGTTACATTGTCGCGTTATAGCCTATAGGGACTTTTTAACCTTTTTTTGTGACCTTTAATTTTAATCTTTAATTTTAATGTTTAATTTTGATCTTTAATTTTAATCTTTGATTTTGATCTTTAGTTTTAATCTTTAATTTTGTTCTTTAATTTTGATCTTTGATTTTGATCATTAATTTTGATCTTTAATTTTGTTCTTTAATTTTGATCTTTAATTTTGATATTTAATTTTGATCTTTAATTTTGATATTTAATTTTGATCTTTAATTTTGATCTTTAATTTTGATCTTTAATTTTGATCATTAATTTTGATTTTTAATTTTGATCTTTAATTTTGATCTTTAATTTTGATCTTTAATTTTGATCTTGATTTGATTTTGACCTACCTTTGATTTATTAAATGCTCTGACCAGCTGGCTAATATCATTTTGAAATGCGTCCAAACTGATTCTGTTAAACAACAAATTAAATGTTATTTCTAGAATATATTCCTTCAAAATTTCCACAGATTCTCTCAGATTTGGATCCGCTAGTTTTCCGCTAAATTTTCCAAAGTTAGCGGAGAAAATATTTTTGAGGTTTAGCTTGTGATTTTCAGGTTTATTGGGGGTAGGTTCACTTCTTTCAGGTTTAATTTCATCTTCTCCAGTTTTAACTTTATTATGATCATCCCTACATTTAGGGTTATAGTGATCTTTTTGAGGTTTCAGTTGAAAATGATCTTTTCTAGAATCGTGAATAAAATTATCACTATTGATCACGTGTTGTGATAAGCATTGATCAGATTTATGATCAGTGTTTTGTTCGGCATTGAACAGATATTTCGTCTGTTCCGTCTGAACTGAAACATTTCGCGTTTTGGCCGAAAGATCGACCGGAAACTCGGTCGTCATTTTTGCCGAAAAAATCTCACTTTTTCATAAACATTTTGTCAACACTTTTTTTGTCTGTATGAAATTTAACCGTGTCGGTTGGTTTGCAGTCCTTGATATACTGTGCGAAGCTATCTATCTATCTATCTCTTTAGACAACTATCTGTCTATCTATCTATCCATCTATCCTCCGAGTGTTTTGCAAGTCAGGAAATATTCTACTAGTCAGCGGACCCAGACCTGCTGACTCATTCTAGTAAATGTAAAAATACGTAGACACACAAATAGACAAACAGAAAAATAGACAAATAGACAAATAGACAAATAGACAAATAGACAAATAGATAAATAGACAAATGAAAATAAAACAACAATTAATAACACATTGAATCAGAGGCAGATAAATGTATCTGTGAATCTAGAAAAAATAGACAAAACATAGGCAAAAAATAGGCAAGTAAAGAAAATAAAATAAGCAAACAAAATATACTTAAACAGACATTAGACAGTATAAGACTAAATATCAATTAATATAATCTATAAATGTCTTGTTGTTTAAAAATATAAATCATGAAACAAACTTTTCTTATCTGTTCATTAAACTGCTGAGTATTAAATACAGTATTTAATACTCAGTTTTCCTTCTTCAGTATCAGATTCACCACATCCCAACATACACCCTTATTTACTTAACCCTAAATACCTCAATGGGGGAGAGTTATATTTTTACATTTTTCCGATATAATTTCCTTAATATATCTCCCCTCCCCCTGAACTTCCCCCTTTTCCTTAATTATCTTCCCTCCCCCTGTANCTTCTCTCAATGGAGTCATCCTTTTCCTTAATTTATCTCCCCTCCCCCCGTACTTCCCTTCATGGAGTCCTCCTTTTCCTTAATTTATCTCCCTTCCCCCTGTACTTACTTCATGTAGTCCCCCTTTTCCTTAATATATCTCCCCCCCCTGTACTTCCCGGCCCATGATGCCACGATTGCATGGATCTTTAATGCAATATGTTAAATTTTGCAAATCATGGCGGAATTCAGCAAGCTAATCTGAGAACAAGGACTAGCAATCTTCTTTTGCAAATATTTATGACGCTACCTAGTACTTTACTTATTTAATAGTTTCAACCTTAACTACATAAATATATTTATCTTTCTTTTCTTTGCAATTGTTTTAGCATTAGTTCGGTACCGATTTTAGTACATTTAGATTTAGTTTCTTTTAGCTTTTGTCCAGAATAAAATTTAAAAAAACCAAGACCAACGGTTTAAAATTGTTAAAGAAATTTTGATTAATACTTTATTTTTAACAGGGTTACCCACAAAGGATGAAACTTTACTGATGACCTGAAAATATTTTGAAAAACGGTCTATGGGTTAAATTCTGCAAGTTAATGTCTAAAATAGCGTTTTTTAATATAAGTATCTCTTTAAGTTGGCCGAGAATTAAATAAGATTTGCAGTTGCTGGTAACTGTGAATTTAAGAAAAACGACTGAAGGAATTCTCTACAGGTGTCTCAGTCGATCGGATTCGGCTGGGAAGTCTTATTCTTTGCTGATAACCCTGAACTATCTATACCGCGCTAACATTGTACAGGGTGTCCCAATAAACATGGAAGTTCAGTGACGACTTTTATATCGTCTTTCATCCATGCACCATTTTTTCATAGACACAATTATTGCAATACTTCAGCTTAAACGCCTGGTCGTGAGATTTTCAAATTGTAGTCTACTATTTTTGAATCTTCAAGATTGACGGAGAAATTGCATAATTTCAATTCATTTTATATTTTATATTTTATATTTTATATGCATCTAAATTGTCTAATATCTTCGACAATTTTTTAACCTACAAGAAAGGTAGACCACTTTGTTAAAAGCTCGTCAGACGTACAACCTCGTTTTTTTTACTTTCTTTGGCATAAAATAAATATAAAAAAATCATAGACGAATTTTAAGTCGTCTCTATTTCCATGATTATTGGGACACCCTTTCTGTTAATATCTTACACACTCTCCATACTAGATGAATGACGAATTAAGAACAGTCTATATGTCGTCTTTTTTCTGCATAGTTTTCCCAAAAATCATTCTAAATATGGAAGAGAAATTCACCAAACAGAAGAAGGGAGAGGGGAGGGGGGGGGGGGTAATTTTATGACGCATCCATTCCATTATGAAACTTAAACATAATAGATTAAAGTTGTTTTTTTTTTAACAAGATGCTCCATAATGTCGTCTTACGTCTCCTCTGGTCTACAACTAAAAAATAGTCTTTTCATCATAATACCTCCTTTTTAAATTATCTCTCATTATCCATAACTTATTTTGTAGCTATGATATTTAAGAATACTGAACGTTTTTGATATTTGAAATTACATTTGCATGGTGTCTCTTAAAAAATGTTCACGTAGTTTTATTAAGGGAGAGAACCATTACCTGATGAAGACGGAGACATTTTATGCCAGTTTTATGTGTATTTAATTTTGTTATAACTAGCCTTAGAGGACACTTCGCGCCCATCTTCTAAATTAATTGTGAACATGTTCTCTTTGTGTACATCGTAAAACAAAACAAAAATAATTCGCGGATTTTCACAAAAAATTTCGTGGATTTTCAAAATTTTCAAAAATTTAATGAAGATCAAATTTTGATGGAGACAAATATTTGAAATTTTGATAATTAATAAACCTTCCCTGTGGTCACGTGATGTCCCACAAAAAATTTGGGCCCGATCGGTTCAGCCGTTTTGACGTTTATTGGATACAAACAGACAGACAAACAAACAAACAAACAGACAGACACAAATTTATATATAGAAGCAAACAGTTGTCAACACGAGAGCGCTCTTGAACATCAACTTTTTGCGTAAAATGGGTCCATTGCGTGAAAATTGATGTGCTTTATGGACAAGCTAAAATCATAACTTGAGTCTAACAGTCGTCCTACCCTTTCACAGTCTTATGCGTCCCCCTGTAGTTACGGTGTGTCCAAGGAATATTATTATGTACTTTTAGTAAAACATACTTTTTTAAATTCTCTCCATGGTTTAACACTTTCCCACATTTGAGGAGAGACCATTTGCTCCACCGGTTAAAGGAGATTAAACAACGTAATTACAGGGATTTAGGGGCGTCTGTCAATTTTTAATAATTTATTGTCACTGCAATGATTGTTTACAGAACTTTGTAAATTACAGAGGAGCTACAGGGTGTCCCAATAAACATGACAGTTGGTGTATAGTTTAAAATGTCTTCTTCAATAATTTGTTAAGTTGTTTGATACCAAAGATGATGAAAATAAATACTAAATGGCAGTAATATTATAGTAAAATTGATTTCAAACAGATATATATTTGAGTAAAAGATTTGTTTAACGAAATAAACTGCAAAAAGTCTGAAATTACTAATACAGTATCATGGAAGAAGACATTGAAAACTATTCACCAACTGTCATGTTTCGTGGGACAACCTGTATGATAAAACGAAATCCATTAAATAATACAAAAATTGACATAATTTACGCACAATTTGTAAAATGCATTTTTTACTACATTTTGCCATCAAAGCTGAGCTATTATTTAGAAAATTTCAACGTGAAGCCATTTTTTTTTCTTTGACAAATGTGCATTATTAACAATATTGTTTGTGAATCTTTATGATTAATTACCTTCTTTTTGTTTTTTATTAGAAACTAGCTGAAGGGTCTGGCGTTGCCCGTGAATTTTTTTTATTTGATTTTTTCCTATGTCAGCCCCAGGCTACCCATGAGTGTCCACAAAAAATCAGCCCATTCGGTCGAGCTGTTTGGCCGGCCAGAGGGAACATATATATGATTGTCTTGTTTTATTATACAGATACTGCTAAGGATTTTAAATGGCGTATTTTTTTTTAGAGATAAACAGTGAAAAAGTAGAATAGGAAGACGACTGATGGAAGAAGACTAATGGACTCAATTTATGAATAAAAATAAAGTCTTTTAAACAAAATCACAGCAATTGTGCAGTTTAAACAGACCCATTTTAATAATTTTATTTATTACATTGATTTACAAGAGGTACTGTAATGACAAAGTCCTTTTTGCAATTTTCTATTTATAAGAATTAGGTATGACGACATGTTATGCTGTTCTTGCATAGGATTGAATAGCTTTATTTGACTTGATGGAGATGAAGACGTTTTATAATGTCGTCTTCCAAATCTTTTCCCGATCATAAACTGTAAACAATATTTTTTTTAGAAATGTCCGTCATAGTTGTAACAAAATACAAAGCATTCTTAGTTCAATGGAGGTACAAGCGTGACAATGATTTAGTACTTTATTTGGCATTAATTATTAGCTTCATATTTTTTATTAGAACTTTAAAATGTTTTCTTTTGCATGTATCTTTGAGTGAAAACTGACAGTTAAGTAAATTTATAATTACTTTAAAGGGAGTGTTCGCGAAAAATGAAAGGGGGTATAGGCTTAATGCGATAAAAAAGCGCTTTTGATCGCTACTAATCTTACTTCTATCTCTTGCATCTATAAGGAGAAAATTGTTAAAGACGTCTCATACCGAATAACATGGCGTCCATACAAATTCAGAAAATTGCAACATACGACTTAGACCGTAAAAAAATCAAATTAATATCAAACAAATCATTCAGATATTACAACCTATAGTCATCGATTATCTTTCGCCACATTTATATATAGTTGATTCTTCATAATATGTTTTAATTGTTATGATCTGAGAGTTACTTACAAAAACATTTATTCCTGTTTCGAGGATTTTTGGTAATGAAGACGACATTTCATATTTTCCAGGAATGTTCGAAAACAAGTTGTAAGCTAAATATTATTTAAAAAAAAAAAAATCAAAACTAGTATGAAATATCAAATATATACAAGTGTGGCGAAAGATAATCGATGACTATAGGTTGTAATATCTGAATGATTTGTTTGATATTAATTTGATTTTTTTACGGTCTAAGTCGTATGTTCCAATTTCCTCAATTTGTATGGGCGCTACGCTCTTCGGTATGAGACGTCTTTATCAATTTTCCCCTTATAGACGCAACAGATAGAAGTAAGATTAGTAGCGATCAAAAGCGCTTTTTTATCGCATTAAGCCTATACCCCCTTTCATTTTTCGCGAACACTCCCTTTAATGTTATTTTAATAAGTTTGTTTACTGCAGTCAGTATATGCAGTGTAAATCAGTCAAATTACGATTTGCGGGACTTATTAGAATTAGCTTAATGAATCACCCATAACCATAAAATAAACTTTGTTTTTAGCAATTAGGGTTTCCAATGCAAACAGATTTTATAATACTTACTTAATTAAAAATAAATAAAAAATGAAAACTTCAGAAAAATAACTAATTATAATCATTTAACAGGAAATATGAACACGTTAATAGATTAATAACAATACAGATAGAACACTGGATCTCGTCTTTTCAAGATTTATGGGTTTTTTCGATTACAATAACCCTGAGGCAGAACTCATTTGGGCCTCTGCCTCAGGGATATTGTTAACAAAAAAGCTAAATCTTGAAAAGACGACGTCTCTTGTTCTATCTGTATTGTTTTTAATCGATGAAGTTCTGATTTTTTTAATATTCAGTTAAATTGTGAGTACGTTACGGTTATTTAATGTTCCGTCACAAACGTTACGATTATTTAATGTTCCGTCACAAACGTTACGATTATTTAATGTTCCGTCACAAACGTTACGATTATTTAATGTTCCGTCACAAACGGGTTGAAAACAAACAATGGCATTTCAGACATATGACAAAGCATGAAAATATTCTTTTTAAATAATACAAATTGCGATAAAATTATCATTATTATTATCATATTATTATTGTCATTAAATTAATAATAATGATAATAATAATACAAATACAAATTAAGATAAAATACATATAAAGCATTTTTACCTTCAATATATAAGCTAGCATTATTAATCTCATCATTATTATAATTATTTGTTATTTTTGAAATCGATATTATTATTATAATATATTATCATCATTTTTATCTTTTTTCTAATTATTATTATCATTATCATCCTTATCTTCTGAATATTATTATCATTGATTACAAAAAATGTGATTTATTGCAACATTAAAGCTAGCGTTAAACCATTTAAACAATAAATGTTTAAATGTCAGAGAACAACTATAAACTATAGTTTCTAGGAAACATTAAAGATTTTAAAATTGCGAAATAATTTCACCTAGATTTGGAAAGTGTACAGTTTTTGAAATAAATGTTGAAGGTCGTCTTTGAATTTTGAAATAATTTGCGGCATTTATTATTATTTTTATTTTTTTTTACAAAATTGATTTCTGAACGAAATTCGCAATATCTCCGATGATTTTGAAAGCACAAAAAAGGATTAGACCACAATTTGGAATTGCCAGGACTAGACGGATTTTGTGGGAGTAGGTTGACGACTGAATGTCACAAAGAAATTAAAAGTTCAAGTTTAAGTGGTCTTATACTTTCTTCATGTTTCATGGGACACCCTGTATAAATCATGAGCCATTGAATTTGGTTTTGTTTTTTAAAACTGTATCCTTTGGTTTAGCATCTTAAACTCTCTGTGTAAAAAATAAGTTAATTAAACAACTGTAAAATCAATATGTTTTTCAATNGTAGGCCTCCATGTTTACAATAAAGCTGATATATTTTGAAATGATGAAGTAGGCCTCCATGTTTACAATAAAGCTGATATATTTTGAAATGATGAAGTAGGCCTCCATGTTTACAATAAAGCTGATATATTTTGAAATGATGAAGTAGGCCTCCATGTTTACAATAAAGCTGATATATTTTGAAATGATGAAGTAGGCCTCCATGTTTACAATAAAGCTGATATATTTTGAAATGATGAAGTAGGCCTCCATGTTTACAATAAAGCTGATATATTTTGAAATGATGAAGTAGGCCTCCATGTTTACAATAAAGCTGATATATTTTGAAATGATGAAGTAGGCCTCCATGTTTACAATAAAGCTGATATATTTTGAAATGATGAAGTAGGCCTCCATGTTTACAATAAAGCTGATATATTTTGAAATGATGAAGTAGGCCTCCATGTTTACAATAAAGCTGATATATTTTGAAATGATGAAGTAGGCCTCCATGTTTACAATAAAGCTGATATATTTTGAAATGATGAAGTAGGCCTCCATGTTTACAATAAAGCTGATATATTTTGAAATGATGAAGTAGGCCTCCATGTTTACAATAAAGCTGATATAT